TTGCTTTGGGTGATGTATCTTTAAAGATATTATTGAAGTGTATGTCGTGCAGTTTCACCTACCTTTTCTTCTAGATATCTTATGGTTTTGTGTTTTATGTCTAGTTCTTTAATCCATTTCAAATTTTTTTTGTTGTTGTTGTTAATATTTATGTATTCATAGAGAACTGGGGTATACAGGCCAGACATGCGGAGGGTGAGAGGATTCACCAGGGATAGATTCACAGGGAGTAGAACAGGCAGATCGAAAAAGTACACTGCTGAGCAGTGAGTGGGTCAGGAGAGGTCTGCCACGCCATGTGGAGCAGCAGGCAGGTCAGGAGAGGTCTGCCATGCCATGTGGATCTCCTCTGGGGCAGGCAGGGATCGAACTCATGCGGAAGCGGCTTTAGATTCTCAGTGCTGTGCTTTAACCCACTGCATCACCAGGGAGGGCCCTCAAGTTGGTTTTTGTGCATGGTATGAGGTAGTAGTCTAGCTTCATTTTTTTTGTATGTAGCAGTCCAGTTTTCCCAGAGCCATTTGCTATACAAAATATTTTTGTTCTATTTCATGTTCTTTGCTACATTGTCAAATATTAGCTGTCCAAAAACCTGTGGGTTTATATCTGGATTTTCACTTCAAATCCACTGGTCTGTATGTCTATTCTTGTTCAATACCATGCAGTTTTGATTATTATGACTTTGTAGTATAGCTTGAAGTCTTGGATTATGATGCTTCCAGTCTCCTTCATTTTAGTCAGAGGAGTTTTTACTATTCGAGTTTTTTTTTGGGGGGGGGGGTTTGTGGTTCCATATAAATATCATCAATATTTGCTCTATTTATTTGAATAATGCCATTTAGATTTGAATAACATTAAATCTGTATACTGATTTTGGCAGGATGGTCATTTTAATGATATTAGTTCTTCTGATCCATGAGCAGGGGATGTCTTTCCATTTCATTGTGTCTTCTCGTATTTCTATTATCAGGGTTTTATAGTTTCTTTGTATAGGTCCTTCACCTCTTTTGTTAGTTTTATTCCCATGTATTTGATTTTTTGTTTGTTTGCTTCTGTTGTAAAGGGGATTTTTTTTTTTTATTTAGGCTTCTTCTGATTGGCTGGTTGTGTATAGGATGGCTATTGACCTTTGTGATTTATTTTACAATCTGCAACCTTGCTAAACTTGTTAATTGTTTTGATTAGTTTTTCTATGGGGTTTTTAGGGTTTTCAATATATAGTATCATATGATCTGCAAATGAAAATATTTTTACTTCTTTCCCTATTTTGGATTCTTTGTATGTCTTTTTCCTGTCTTATTGCTCCGGCTAAGACTTCCAATGTTCTTTTGAAGAGCAGTGGTGATAGTAGACATTCTTGTCCTGTTCTTGATCTCAAAGGAAAGGTTTTCTCCATTGAGAATAATATTGGCTGTGTGTTTCTCATATATGGCTTTTATCATGTTGAGGTATGTCCCTTCTATTCCAATGATGTTTAGGACCTTAAAAAATCCATGTTGAGGCCCTCCCTGGTGGTGCAGCAGGTTAAAACACAGCACTGAGAATCTAAAGCCGCTTCCACATGAGTTCGATCCCCGCCTGCCCCGGAGATGACCACATGGTGTGGCAGACCTCTCCTGATCCGCCCGCTGCTCCCCTCAGCAGTGTACTTCGTCGATCTGCCTGTTCTGCTCCTC